TCATTCATGTTCTGAGATAGACAGTAAACTGTTGTCTCCCTTTACATTCCCAGCCTGATAACATCTATGTTGGAGCCACTGAGTTCATACTTTTTCCTGTTTTGGTAGATGGTCATAAGATTATCTACTTTTGAAAATGAAAAGCTTAACCCTCTTTGTCTCTTTTTCATCTCATATATCATATAAAAAAGTACATATGACATCTGTGTGGAGGTATAATCCCTTAGTGTTACTAGTGAATGACATATGTCTGCAGAGAGCAGCCCCAGTGCCCACCTCTAAACCAACACAGTCCAACAGTGCATCATCTTAAGCTACATGTCTGGACATGTCTCACAGGAATCTGTGTAATGTATTGTACAGGATAGACAGAGGTGCTTTTGCTCCGCTCCAAGAGGCACTGTGGCCCTGAGCTCTATCACCTCTAAGCCAGCAGGGCAGCCTCAGTGTGGGAAAGCCTGAGGAATGTCTTAAAGAGCTTCCACAAACACAGGCTTCGTCAGGTACTGGAGCAAATAATGAGGCTGCAGCATCGTGCACTTGTGCTTTTGTCTCTGTAACACTTGTGTCTTTGTGTTGTGGGCATCACAGATTCCTCATCAGTGAGCAATGAGTATGCACACAGAGAGGGATTAATCAGGATCAATTAGCCTCAAGCACCAGGACAGAGCAAGAGGACTCGCACTACTGTCAGTAGTCAGAAAGTTACCGAAGCAACTTCTGAGAAAGTACAGCTATTACAACAACTGCTATTCAGTTGTTTTCTGTTCCAACATGATGTAGCAGATTTTGTCTTAACTTTAGGAGTGTCATGAAACTACTATAGTCCAGGAGCAAGTTGTAGTGTCATTCTATTTGCACAAAAAGATCAGTCAAAAAAGACCACTGCTGGAGGTCATAGTAGTAACCTGTCTTCAATGTCTGCATTTCTCTTTGACCTTTGGCCCCAATGAACACCTATAGGTCATCATTCTGAAAGTCAGCATTTCACACATTCTCATGTCCTAATTTGGTGTTATGAGATTTTTTTTTACATATCAATGTATTATAACATTATTCAAATTATAGTTGCTGTAAATTCTTTCAGCATGTCTGTGACGTGGACCTACCAGATTTAGACAACACCCAGTTCTGGGCGAGTTTTCTCCAAATGATACGGTTTGTCTTGGTAAAGGGTGGCAAACAGCACATGTGCAATTTGTTGGAGGTCGAGGTTCATGAGGTTTGGAAAAAGGGTGTAGTGCACATTCCAACATAAACTTGTGTGGATAGGGGTCAGTGCCTTTAAAAAGAGAATGATGCACTGAAGATGTGCTGTGCATTCCTTTGTGGTTCCATTATCCAGGCATGTAAGTTTGACCACTTCCTGATAATGACAGGAAACAATGGCTGCATCCGGTAGGATCCAGAGGAAGGGACTTATAAGGAGGCTTATCCACAAAAGATCAGTGAAATGGGACATGAGCAGAAATATATTCTATTTTTGACACAAAAGCAGTATACTGTATATGTAGCACTTCTGATCTATTTTGATAGCTAGTTATTCATGACACCAGTGACTAAAAATAAGAGCAGATAGACATGGACAGCCCTCTTCCAAAACTTGCTTTATGAAAATTACACAGATACTTTATGGTGCATTTGGCAAATTTTCATGTTTTTCAAATTATTACTTTGTTTGGTAGCATAGTATCATAGTATATATGTATTATCATATGTGCTGTCATGTTGCATCAAGAGATCTTTGTTCTAATACACTAATCTCCCATTTGAACTGGTCCAAATGGGAACAGCTTGAGCTCAGTTCATATTCTTAAGTATGTTAAACCCATCCCAGCTGCTTGCAACACAGTATTTTCTTCTCCATTTAATTGGTTGTTCATTCAGTTTGAAAGGTCAATTATATTTGACAGATGTGACCATGAATGTGAGACTGAATGGTACCAAACTCATTCCAATAAAAGAGTAAGTAGTGCCTTGATACTTTGTCTGTTATAATAATGTGTAATCAAAGAGGTGTAGTGAGGCAGAGACTGGTGTCAAAGCTTAACTATAGTTTGGTTTCACTTAATCAAAGACTCAATAATCTGTTTATAACATGGCTACTAATTTACCACAGGATGACGCAGGCATATGTCTGCCTGCATTTCTTTGTGGTTAGTAAAGTTTAAAAAACATTAAAAAAACAAAAAAACAAAACAAAAAAAACCCACATACATTAACAGCAAAATACTGTCAAAAAAACTGAATCAGAGTTTATTGTGGTTGCTTAAATAGTTTTACATTTAAAGCAGTATGAATATTCAAACATCTGATAGAATATCTAAAATATAAGAATACTGCAGAACTGGCTTCTTGTGCCTGAGTTGACAGCTCTGACTCTGTGGAAAGGTCTTCAGGGTGAGAGGTTTTTCTGCCAGACCCAGAGGCGACCCATGTCCCACATACATCGTGTTTCCTCAGGCGGAAAACAACAAGCTGACTCACCCGTGGTCCTTCTCTGTGCGTTTATGTGATGCGCAGTGCTTAGTTCCATGTGCCACAGGTTTGAGTCTATTTTCCCACTGAGAAAGCAGGAAGAACACTCAATGAACCAGCCAGAGCCAATCAGTTACTTTATGATGATAGCCTTGATTAGGGTGTTGCTGGAGAAAGATACTTGTTACCTGGTGTCTGTCTAGTTTCTTCTTTTTAATGTATATTTTTGGGTAACATTATAGCCTTTTTGGGTCAGTTTCGAATTATTTTTGTCTACTGTGTCTTTGCAATATTATTGTCATGTAGCATGTAATATAGCATGTAGGTCTACTTGTAACATACATTCAGACCTTTGATTCATCAATAATTGATTACTGGTTACAGTATCAGTGGCATAGAAAGATGACTTGATGAGTTTATGAGTTTATTGTGTGTTGGTAATGCTTATCAGTCTGCTTTCACAAAAAAGTCTGAAAGCCTTTACAGTATTTTAGGCTAAGATTGAAATTACCCTGCTTTATATAGTGACCCTTGTGGAGATAATGTCCTGAATTCCACTGAATAAATGTATAAATGTTAAGCAGTAAGAAATCCTGATATATGACTTTTGTGTAACGGTTTTGCCACTTAGTTGCTTATAAGTTGGTGTTTTGTGTTTATAATATGTAATAGTGTCTTCCTAAAACATGTCACATACATGTAGTAATGTGAGGAATGTTTATGAACTAACTGATTTATTGTTGTACAATCCAGCCCAACGGAAAGGAAAAATATATATTTGTTATATTGTCATGCTTTATTTAATAGTCTTGTCTTCAGACAGGTTTTTATTTTATTTGTTCTTATCATGTTTTGAAATCCTTCCCCAGGCTAGGATGAGGCACATGGCTATGTTAAAAAGCCCCCATGGAGTGACCTTTGTTATACCTGATAGTAACCATGGAAATCAGTCGACTAGGACAACATACAATCACTGCAAATCTTGTTCCCAGTCTTCAGTATTTTGCTGGTGTGTAGCACTGAGGTCAATAATGTAATCATTTGGATTCATTTGATCAGAATACTTTTTTGGTGGTTCCTGGTATAATGGAAAATAAGGCAAAAAGCCGTGGATGATCAGTAATCCTATATTCTGTACCAATCCTATATGATCTATAAATACCTAGATTTATTTAACTGCCTGTCAAATGCACTGATAAGCACTTTAGGCCTTGAACCTGGGGGAGCTCTGCTACTAAAATATTAACTATTTATGGGTGGTGTCAGAGAATTGGAGTGGTAGTGCCAATAAAGTAGCCTAAAATAAGCTGCTCTGAGTGAAGACAGGGCAGGGGTTTCAATAATAAGCAGATAGACATCTCACTGCTCTGCCCACCAAGACAAATACAGGAGTGTTTGAGGTGCTTGATTAGATCTATATACCGTCACCCATTTATTACGTCATCATTTGCACATATCTGCTGACAAAATATTATAGAGGCGGACAAAGGTCATCTAAGTTCTTTCTGAGCTTCCGGGAGCACTCACCCTTAGTCTACTAAACGTCACTAACCCTAGTCTTCTCTGAGAGGCTGACAAAAAGGGCTTATTATAATTTTATTGCTGGTGCTTTTTCGTCTTGTCAACTGCTGCCACCTACAGGGTACTAAATCATATCACAGTATTTAACAAGGCGCTTGTAAGTAATAGCCCAATAGAATTATGAAACAACTTTATTTATGTAATTAAACAATATTTGACTGCCTATATTAAAAAATGTACCTCCATATTGGAGTCTGATCAATTAAAACACACCATTGTCATATTACACAAATTGTAAAATCAAAAAGCCTATGCTCTAGGACTAGGCTATAGCCTGTTACATTCTGACTACAGTACCTGGAATACGAGCTATTTCAGACATCCAAAAAATTGTTGTTATGACTTAAAAATATTGTACTATGCTACGTTCATAATTTTTGCCACCGCAAGGGGTCAGATGTGCGTCAAAGTTGCAAAGCTGTAGACTGCAGCAGTGTGCACAGATGACTGATATGTTTAGGCTATAGCCCATAACGAAGAGTAGCCTAGGCTATGTAGCAGTCTAAGTCTATAAAAAATCCTCTTATTTTATTTTATTTTATTTTTGACAGTTTGCTGGTCTTTTGGAGGGTGACGCAATAAACATGCAGGTAGGATATAATCACAAGGCCTTGCCGGTGCCCTAACTTCTGTACAGAGCACTTGGACTGTTCTTCCCTTTTTGCACTGACTCAAAATGGTGCCTAAAATAACTGGCCATGAGTGTTGTTCTTCCCTGTTAGCTTTACATCTCCTTTATGTTATCTGAGCCTAAGCTTGTGCGCACTGTGCAGCGCAGTTTGGAGTTGGTGCTAGTGCATTAATAATGCCATTATTAGGGAGAACTACATGACAATAAGTTTCCAGTAGCACTATGGCACAAACAATCTGTGACTTGTGATAGGCTACATTCTCATTATGCTCCAATCATAAAGTCGCGCTCGCTCCGCCTGCCACATCACTAGAATGGCGGAACACGGGGCACGAATTCCGCGTATGCGCGGAAAGCTGATGGCGGCAGTGGCCATCCTCCGACTGTAAAGATACGGAACCGTTGCTGAGCGACAAGTCACAACCCTCCAAGGCTGATAATAAGCCGTGACAATCAGCAGCAGCGACGTGCCAGGGCAGCCAGGCGCTTTAGAGCCACGGCTTAAGTCTGAGACGACAGACGGCGGATGGACAAGTGCGTGCCCGGATGCTTAAAACTGGACCAGTGCCTTTTACTTTGGGTGATTTCAACAACCCTGTGGACAATCCCCAATAGCATTTGTTGCTAGAAAGGTTGCACACGTGTAGTGCAACAATGGATTTGCTTAAAGTGCTTTATGTGGATGAGTTGGCCCATGGGCTGGCAAACTTATCCATGTTCCCATACTTTGACATGGCGCATTACATCGTATCAGTGATGTCCCTGAGGGAGCAGCCAGGTAAGACTAGCATAACACAAAGTACAAGCTACCTGCATAAGAACTTTTGCAGAGACAGTAAATATCTGTAAACTAACATCCGGGTCACACTAAAACTATAGAAGATTTTCTGCCAGAAAGAAGTTGCATTGTGAATGAAATTTGATTCCCCGCCCAAACGCGCGATATCACAGGATCTTGAGTGTAAACACATTTGCTCACACATAATTATTCATGAGTTTACTATTACTTTGTAGCACATGTACACAGTCACTGGCTGTTTATGTGTAATAGGGCTAATCATTTTGTTACCAATTATTATGCTCCCTATGTTTGCAGCATTATCAGATGCAATGTTGTTGTAACAGGAGAGCAATCTGAAAAGATAACAGATTTTATCTGGTGGTGTTGGTATTCTATCTCTATCTACATTGTGGTGTATACTAATGCATGTCTTCTTAGAGCAAAGGCATTGGCTCTACTGAGTTATGTCACACTGGGCCTAAAAGGACAGGTGGATTTCACACACTACACTATGTGACCAAGTTCAAGGACAGGCAACAACACAAACTATTGTTGTACAGCTTGTGTGAATCTAGGCTCTATTTTAAAACATGCCTCATGAAGAATTTGACCTCCAGTGAACTGTTAACCCTTGTATACCTCCATACAGGATGAAAGATAAGCATAAAGGTGAGCTACTTGCTTTAGGCCAAACCAAACAGAAATCCTCACACTTTCCCCACTTTTCCCTCATGTGTCTATGTGGAGATACTTGTGGAGTCCCAGTTTAAAGCCCTTATTTTCTCTAAGATTGTATAACAGTGAAGACATTGATAGACTTTACTTCTATGTGCGAAGGTAAAACTTCTTCCTCAGAAGGAATGGAATGCTACAATCACTCACCCCTCCCCTTTTGATCCATTTTTTTTTTTTTTTTTTCTATTAAACTAATTTTTCAGTATAATTTTACTGGGGGTAATATCACATGATATTCAGGCTTGGGAAATAATATTTCTTAAAGAATTGTATGGATTTATTTAAACCATCTCTGGTTTGTTTATCAACACTCATGTATTTTATATGAATACATCCTGACATGTTGGGTGTTATTATTCAGCATCTAAGTTGTGTCTGGTCTGTCTCTCCTCCATTGTTTTGACTTGTAAATGTCACTTCCTATGCAAACTGCGGCCGCACAATCAAATAAGCACTTTTTCATTCTTCTGTTTTTGGAGAAACAAGGTAGATCTAGACCTACTGTAACTCTGTGCAATAGAGTGAAACCAGCCTACTGTTCACACCACACACTTGAGTTTGTAGGCTGAAGCTGATGACACAGCTGCACTATTTACTATGTAAACAATCTGCTTTGTTTGTGAACTGCAGAGCAGAAGCACAAGAGAAATGTTGCATGACATTATACATTCATTTATCTTTCAATACAAGTGCTATATTATACCCTCAACTCTATGTTTACATTTAAAGCAATACTTTGCCACATGCCTTTTGTAGGGATAAGGGATTGGTCTCAATGTAAAGGTTGTCCGCAGGAGTCCATAATCTCCCTGTAATCTTCAGATTAACAGTATGGTCTTGCACATGCACTGACTCACTATGCTGCATATATACATAAAAATATATTATGGAAATGTGTTAAATGAAATGTTATGCAACCATTTCCATGACTTGAAGCTAATTGTCCATACAAATGTGAATCACTGTCCAAGGGGGTAAAAGAATAGGCTACATGTCTCTCAAATACAAAAAGGGCATTGAGCAGTTTATCTGGAGTGCACTGATAAATTATGGCACTCAACTATGAATACTGCTTCTCTGAGTTGTACTTTGAACTATCAATATTGCACAATGTCTTCTTTTCTTTGGTTTAATATTTAACTTGTGTAACAAAGGCCATGTTCAGAGTTGACCACACTGCCTTGTCTCCATTTCCACAGTGCTTATTTATAAGAGAAGTGCATTATAATTACAGTGATCATACCAGCTCAGTTTGCTGGAGGGAGTCCATCAACAGGAACAGTCACAGGGTGTGTTTCTACAGTCCACATGTTGGTTACAAGATTATATCTTAACGCCTGTGTCCCAGACAGTTACAGCAGATAACTGATGGGTCCCACCCTTGGTCTATCACAGACTGTATCACTAGACAATGAATGCACTAGTTTCAGAGTTCATAATAACCTTTTTCAGTAGACTAGCACAGTAATGTTAGTTTAAAAAGTGTGTTTGCAGAATATCTATTAAATAAATGTGCAATTAAATGTGCATCTGCATTCTGTAATGTCAATGTTACAAAAAAGCAATACTGATATAAATTGTCCTCTTTGCCTGTGCAGGAGCCCTGGAGGTGTCTCGGGTCAGTCCGTTGGCCTGCTGGTTCAGCTCTATGCTCTTCTGTTTTGGAGGAGCCGTTCTCTCGGGGATCATGCTGGCCGAGCCCCCAGTGGCACCACTGTCCAATGGAACCAGTGTTCTCCTGGCCACAATTGTTTGGTAATTTTATTGTATACTGTATAGAGCATGAGGAATACTAGATACACAAGGACCAAGAGATAATAGGCAAAGAATATTACTTTTTATACTTTTATATAATTACTTCTATAGAATTTGTTTAAGCATGTATTTAGAAGTGTAGGGTGTGTAGAGTGTTAAACAGAGTACTCAAGTCAAGAACAAAATTTCATACAATCTGTAATAGATATAACAGCATATTTACTGGAAAACATAACAAATGCACATATAACAAATTCTATAAAAACATAACAAAAAGCTCAATTTGCACTCATTTAGAGTGCAAATTCTAAACAGAAAAAAAAAGTTGAAATGCCTGAAGAATTTTAAGTACTATCTTATCAATTATTATATTTGTCTTTGGTTCCCCCTACTGGTAACTTTTAAAATGGCTGTATTCAGAAATTGGAGCGCCCTCTGCTGTCAAACAGTAATACATGACTAGCACAGCACTTGACACGTGATTTTAGTGCTTTCCTTGAGTTAAGGATTTACAGTGTATGTGTTTGTATGGTATGTATGTAGGTACCTGGTGTTCTATTGCCCCGGGGACCTGTTGTACTGCTGCACTGCCTTACTGCCCCTGAGGCTGGTGCTGTCAGGGATGAAGGAGGTGACTAGAACATGGAAGGTGTTGGGAGGTGTGTCTCAGGCTCACGTCAAGTACAAGGACAGTCTTCTGGTTATGATTGCCATTGGCTGGGCAAGAGGTTTGTTACAACTTTATTACTTTTTTACTCTCTGTAATGAGCATTTTAAAGAGTCTATATTGCACTATGCTTCATCTAAGTTACAATGTTGTTTCCTCATCACAAATATACCCAGAGTTGTGTTTTGTTTCATTCACATGTTTAACACATATTCTGTATAGTTAGACTGTGTTCTTCTCTCAATCTGACAACACCCTGTTTCTCCTTGTGATGTCATCAAGGGGAAATATAGAGAGTCCTCCACTGTGTGTTTTTACTCCGTGCACTTTCAATAGCATCATTTTGATTGATTCATCCCTTTCTGCCAAACTTTGAAGTGACTGCTATTGTTTTTAAACTCAATGAAAATGCTTCACTTCTTAGTGCACCGGCAGATACGGGAGACTTTCCATTGACAATCTCAGCTGAACAAAAGGTAAAACATAAATATTTAAAAAGAAAGAAAAAAAAAAAGAACAAGCAACAACTTAAGATTATTTTACTGTATTGGAAAATAAAGCAGTTTAACTGAAGTTACAATCTGATAACACAGGATTACTCAAAATATGTGTGAATGAGACAAAACACAACTCCAGGTATGTCTGATGAGATAACAGGTTTATGACATGGCTAAAAGTGTTTTGCATATAGGACATTTAACTAACACGTACAATGCATCCACCAGGAGCCGGAGGAGGCTTGATAAGCAAATTTGAACAACTTGTAAGAGGTGTATGGCAGCCAGAAACAAATGAGCTTCTAAAAATGACCTAGTAAGTGCCTTTTCTAACTTGTAGGCATCTAATGATTAAAAGTGTAATGATTATGTTTATTTCAGCTGATAAAGTCCAATTTTGTATTTATACAAAGAAATCACACATAAATACAACAGGAAAAGAATCTAAACATAGTCTTAGACAATATTTTATATCATATTGTATGTAGTTTTTAGAATAGAATATACATTATCAACTGGAATTCATCTTTGGTTCACCACTTCAAACAACACAGTGAGACAACAACATTTTCTTGTACTCTTGTTTAGCCCCACGAAGATCACGCTGATTGGAGCAGTGCTATTCTCTCTGCAGCACACCCAGTACTTGCCTGTTCAAAAGCACCACTTGATGCTCATCTATACAGTCTTTCTCGTTGCCAACAAGGTCAGTGAAACATCCACTTAAATGTTCTATTTATTAGCTTAGTGTAAAGCTTGCAGATAAAGGCTCACGGTTTGAATCTGGTCCATTGTTATTATCAAAACTGGAGAAAATACAAAAGGTTGCCAGTGTCATTACTTGCTGTAGTGTAGGTGTAGTGTTGTAGGTCCCTCTGTCCTCCGTCTTGAGTCTTTTAAATGACCTTTCTCTCTTTGGCGTTTTTGAAGTTTGGGCTGTAGTGACTCATATTTCGCTTGTATTACCCGTAGGGCCGGGGCTTTTGCATCATTTTCATCTGCTTGCATCACCCCCTCTTCTCTGGGAAACTTGTGCTCTTGACGGAGACACAGATAAATCTGGCATGTCTTCTTCCCTCCGAGTCTGATCTGTCAAATTAACGCAGAGTCATTTCATCAGATAGCAGAGTTTTGTCCCAGCTCGTGTTTATTAGTTTGCCCCACGGATGTTCATTTAATCCATGCCTTAATTTATTTATATGCTTTACAAGTAACCAATCATATTAACAAATTAACTATTGGGGTTTGTGGAAGTGCAATTGTCAGACAGACAATTCTTGAGAGTGAAAAATTATCTACCCATGCAGAATTTCTGAAAATAATTTAATAATAATGATTTAATACATTATAACATCACAATAACAAAATTGCCTCAAATGTATTGTGATAGCATTGTAGACACTGGCCTAAATAATGTAATTTGAAGCTGTTAAAAAATTGAACTTGAATCTTCAACACATAGCACAAGCACATAGCATCAACATTTATTACGACAATATATCACGATCAGTTTCATTTTAACCTGTTTAATCATACAGGAAGTTTATAAAGTTACATTTATCATTTTATTGCCTCTAAGATATTTTGTTGAGTGATGTTGTGTTTTGACAGCATATTCGTTATTTCATTTTTGTATGTTTTGTCTTTCTGTTTAGTCAAGAATGATGCTGACGGGCTCCTCTGTCTCACCCTTCGCTCCCATTGAGTCCATCATTTACAAAGCACTTTTCATCGGGTCCTCCCATTATGCTGCTCTCACCGATGACCTCCAGGACTCGTGTACGGACCAAGATGCCTCGGCCTCCTCCAGTAACAGGGGAGCTGTAAAAAAGCACACTGCAGCCTCTCAAAATAATGGGAAAAACAAATTGCTCCAAGCCAAAGATGAAGGGAAGGCATGCACGGAAAGTAGCAAGAAGTCCAATTAGTCACTTTTTGCCTATAGCTCCTTTTCAGCACTGAGTGGGGCTGGGAGGCCATGTATGAATCACTCATAAGTCAGGGGTCATTTGAACTTTTTTTTTTTGACCAAATGTAAACAAGCTTTAGTTGGCCTGCCAGTTCCCGGTTGTGGAGTATCAACTACTATGAGTACATTTATGACATAAGTGAATAAGTGAAACGTATGACGTTTCACTTATTATGTTTCACTTTGTACATCTTAAAGAGACAATGTAGCGGAAAGTCAAATTGTATATTTATTGTTTTTGTGAACTGCTGTTTATTCAGGGCTATATGAAATTAAGTGTGATTAGGTTTTGGGAACAGTGCCGATCAGTTGGTTCTGATCTGAGTGACTGAATGTCTTTCTGAGTGTTTTAAATGCTATATTTCTTACAGAGAAAAATATTTTAATCATGAGATTATATTATATCAGATGTTTTATTCTATTTATACAATTCTAATTGCACTCTCGGGTGTGTAACATGTCCAAAGGAAGACATTTTACTGTTTTCTGTTTCTTCATTCAGTGCTTTGAATTACAATTGAAAGCATAAGAATAAACCTCTTGCACAAGCACAGTTGTGGTGCATCATTGTCTTTTTCTTGGTGAATCTAAGTTGCCCATAGTCAATAAATATGAAAATTTGAGACCACTTTAATTGCAGAGATAGGCGCAAAACAAGACAGTACATCCTTGAAAAAAAACAAAAAATGAACTTGTAGTTTAAGTTACATTAGATATGGTGCTTTTAGTAAATAATAATAGTTTTCACAATTACAGTATATTAAAGATATGACTTAAGTGTTATATAAACCTTACTATAAAAATTTGAACTATTTTGATTTTGTATAATATTTAATATCAAATATCCTTTTTCTCTTTAGAGGATTCTATTTGAATTTATAGTTGTGCAAATTGTCAAAAAGGCTGCACGCACTAGTCCATAGCTGAATATATCTTAGAACTTCAAACCTGTAGCATAACAAAGGGACAGGTACTAATAACGCAACCTTTCTGGTAATTAACAAATTCATTAATTTTCCATTACACATTCAAACCAGTAAAGACAATAATATAGGCCTAGCTATAACTACAAAGCACTGGCAGTTCAGAAGCAGCCTCCATAGGCTGAAGCATTGCATCAGGCTAACATCAGCACCTGATTGATACCTCAGCCTCTTTAAAAAGCTGCTAGAAGGAGATCCTCCCAAATCCTCCCCAATTCTCATCCATGTTACCAAAGATGGGACAGAATACTCCAGTGAATACAAATTAACAACAGACGTTGTCAACAAGAAGAGAGAATGTGTTCAAAAGCAATCAAAAGCTGTATTCTTTTAGACTGATATACTTTATTGTGGCTCTGGATGGATGATATTTACATGTCAGTAAAAACCTTGTATCTTTAAATGTGGGTTTCAAATGCATTGTGTTATATGTTTCTGAGGAGTTGTGGAATTCAATATGCTCTCTTCCTCCTGTGACGTGACTATAGGTTATAACTACTACACATTGTTTACACTGAAGGTAGAATCAGGGGCTCTTACTTTATCGACCGTTTTACATTTGATGGAGGGTGCAGCTTGTCTCCATGTTAACATAGAATATGAATAAGGTTACTTTAGTCTTTTCATATTTACTTCCTGTTTCACAGAGTGTTGATCAAGGGTCACAAGTAACTTATATACTCTTATAGCACTAACTTTTGGGTGAGAAGCATAAATACATAAAATGATACATTTGATAAATTATTTATTTATTTCTGAGATCTGAATTATAAATGCCCATCTTTCCCTCCAATGGTGTTTGCAGCACTGGAGATTGACCACTTGGTGGCGTAAGGAGGTGCAGTCTCTGATGGCTTGATGCCTGAGAAACTGACAGGCTGGCCAGCAGCTGCAGGCAACAAGGAACAGGGGCAGGAGGAGACCTGACGCAGAGCCAATAGCAGCACTAGCATGTGTGTGTCATTATAAAGTAGGCTCTGTAAAACCTGGTGACTGTCCCCATGGCTTATAAGGTCATGTCTTTGTTTCTTCTGCATCTCCAGCCATAGAGGATCTGGAGGACCAGTGCCATTTTAAACACTAATGGCTGAAATATAGTTCTTGTTTGTGGACATATGCTAGTATGTTTTTTTATGTGACACACTGGGTGCAAGAGGAGCTCTGGGGCACAGACACACACAAACACCCATACACACACACACACACACATGCACACAAGATTCATGTGACTTCACAAATCACCCTAACTTCATCCTTCCAGACCTCCTACAGGAGACAGGGGCACTACCACAAGGAACCAGAGACTGATCTATACTTCTCACACCTCTTTCTAACATGATGTGCTTATTTAAACTAGACACAACCATCTAGTGTTGGTACTTAACACATGGCCACACAGCTGTGTAAATACCATATCTGTATGGTGGCCTACCTCTAGTTATTAGTATTGTGTATAAAGATCTGAATAGACAGCAGAGAAAACCACATGATGTATAATCTTTTTTTTAAGAACCCTAATTGGCTGGAGGTCAAAACATCGCCTAAATTGACTGGATACTAGAATTAGCCATGACTACATTGTGACCTATGTTTTGTTGTTCATATCTCCAGGAATTAACACTACAAGTACAAGTACTGCCTGTCAAAATGACTAAGGAGTTCAAAACTTGCTCACCTTACAGGTTCTGCCTTTAACCACGATATTATACATTTAGATTGTAAAGTGTAGGGAATGCTGGTGTAACGTTGCTCCTGTGTGGTTTTAAAAATAATTATTATTTCAAAGTTTAGTTGAATTGCTTTGTGGGTGATGAAATCCAAGAGCTCATTAGATCTCAAGTGAGATGAAAGAAAAGAAAAGATCAGTGTGTGACCACACAGGAAATGTAGAGGGCAAGAGAATGATTGTCTTTTAGTTCTGAACTATATTAAATCTAGGGATGTAACATTATTTAAGTATCATGGTACAGTTACAACTGTATTCACCTCATGGTACTATATTTATTATGATACTGAGGAGATACAGTTTTCACTTTTGTTCTGTACTTTTACTACATTGTGTACAACTTCTCAATCAGTACATGGATTCCTTGTGATGGTATATAGATTCCTCCATACTTCTAATGTGTTTATCAACAGTTTTATATTACTGGTCTCATGTGGTGCAGTCAATCTGAATAACTGTATTGTTTTGTTGTCATAGTAGACATAGACATAGACATATAGTAGACATATGGACTTGTTTTAGACCTGGTTTAGATTTGGAGATACTCAGAAAGCAAATAATTCTTATGCGGTACTTGAGAAAAGTTAAAATGAAACATCAATGACAGTATTTTACAAATCCTGAATAATTTAGTTGGACCTTGTGTTTGTAAAGTGTGCCCAAGAAAATATCAAAACTTCTAACATGATATCCTTGGTGAAGATCCCACCAATCTTGACTTAATGTGAAGAAAAGATGCAAGGAAAATGATGCAGGAAAATGTCCAGAAATGTAGTCATGTCATGTGTCTAGGTCACGATAATCACTATATTCAGTAGATGATACATGGAACAATTTTTTCGCAGTCAGTATTTAGAATGTGTACATTTTCTTTGCATTACTGGGAAAATTTGGGTTATTTTGGCTGTAGAGTACATTTTAAGATGTAAAGGGTTGAATAAATTACTTCTATGACTTTGATGAGATTGTGATTGTGAGATTGTTTAAATGTGTTTTGTACGTACTGTATGTCTATTATGATGAATGTTTTCTATCAATCTATGTATCAGTCAGTCGCACTAAGTACTAAAGTGTTTCATTGTTATTTATTTAATGCATGTTTTTTGTTTTGTTTTTTTGTTTTTTTTTTTTACATTTAAAATAATTTTTATAGGGCAATCCTGCTTTAGGGTTATTGTGCCAGTGACATAAATTAGTTTCTATTTTATTGCTTACCATTAAAATTTTCTTCATCATCATATTACACATCCATATTTGTTATTGTGACCAGCCTACATGTGTATGTGGACAAACAAAACAAACAAAAAAACAAATTTTTGTGTCAAATTATTTTTCAAGTGGTGACTGTTTTCAAACACATAAATAACAGCCTCGATAGCTGCAATCAGAAATTTGATGTTTAGAGGAAAGCTATTCTCTTGAACTGTTGTCGTTTTCTCTGTTTAAGGAAGATTGCTGTTGTGTTTCCTTTTTTTTAGAAAATGGGCTGTAAAAGTATTTCAAAACGCTACGTTGCCTTTACACAAAGGCTTGTGGGACTGATTTGAGCCAAGCTACGTTCAAGGTTTAAAGGTGCACTAACTTTTCTGGTGGAGACTTCATGGTAATGTTATTGCGTTGCTTACATAATGTTCCAAAGTATTACCTTTATTTAAAAAAAAATATTAACTGATGTGTAACTTGGTCTAATGGTGTTACTTAAAAGGAAATTGATTAATTTAATGCCATACTGTGGAGCATTCGGGGTAAAGGAAAAACAGGGAAAGAAATACACTTCACTACAGTGGCAGACACTCCACCAGAATAGTCACATGCACCTTTAATTCCACTTCATCCTAACTATATCATAGGTTTAATTATTGCAAGGATTGTGGAAATTGATAGTTTGCTATTGATGTCATCAACATTCCCTGAGGGTGTAATGCTAACTGAAAGCATGCTCTGTCTAAGGCTTTGTTCGACATTAATCTGATCTTTATTTTAACACATTCTGACCAGAACAAACTTAGTTGGAACTGTAACAGGTGATCTGAATTGTGCTGTTAAACATGCCCCTCTCAGATACAGTCACAAGCTGGCTGGCATTAGCCAAGAACCTTTCAATTAGTCACTCTCATTTTTTGTTGAAAATCACATAAACAGGACTCTTATTAATCACAGGCTCCTGAAAATGTGCTGTTTTTCTCTAGTTTTCAGATGATCTTAAAACTTACTTACTTTAACTGTGGTTGCCAAAGTGTGCATTGTGTCTCCATGGTAACTGGTGAACATTCCACTAATACACATACATGTAGAAACACCCTCAGCATGATGTGACTGCAAAGTATCAATACAAACCCTGATTTGAATAGTCTTTGCTGTTATGGTTTCTCACTTATTTGACCCAGTGCTACATAGAGATGGAGCAACCTCACACTTATGAGTTTATGTGGCCCATGAAGGTCCTCCTCTGCTCGGGCTCTTGTATTGATTTGCACCTTGTGGAAATAAGGTTTGTGCTGATCCTTTGTCCCTGCTTCATATCTGTTTCTCCTGAGCTGAGCCTGGCTGTCCAGTCGTTGGTACATGGTGTGCTCCTGTCACTCCCCCTCCTCTTCTCCTCCTCCTCCTCTCCCTTTCTTCTTTCACTGAGGAAGCAGATGGCGTTTAGTGTTGGTCCTTCTTTTTTTTTTTTTTTTTTTTTTTTTTTTTTTGAAGGTATTCTTAGCTTGTGTGTATGGCTGACCTTGCTTTAGGGGCTTTAGCTTTTGGATAATTCTGCTAGTCGTGGATCATGCGACAAGGTGGTGTGGTCCTCTAACTATTTCACATTTTCCTCCTTCCAGTGCTGCTTTATTTGCCATC